CTTTGTTGAAAGAGAGCAAAATTATTGCTGACATCCTATACCAAGGTGTTACTAGGTTGTCGAACTTTATTAAATCAACGATAGTTTCTAAGTGAATTGTTATTCTCGTCGGCTTGTGTATACTGGAGTGAAAATATCTCGTGGATTTGAGTATACCGCAGTGAGATTTTAGCATAAATCTAATATCTAAGCTGTTCCTATGGCTGAGAATAGCGAACTCAAAATGAACATGCTAACCTAGCAGTCACCATCACAGAGAAGAAAGGAGCCAGCCAGATGGAAAGCCAAGAGGCCAAAGTCACCGGTGCGGCGATGAGGATGGCGCGACGTTGGCCAAAGATGCTCATGAGGAACCCACACATCATGGACCCCCAAATGGCACCCAAGGTGTGAGCAGAGGCTATCACGCAATGGGAAAGAAGTCACATATCATAATTCTGTTTTTCTTTAAAAAATGCAATATGGGCTTTTTGACTCTCTATATATAACAGTTGAATATATTATAAATACCTTATGAAAACATCCTACAAGGTGTATTTTGCATATCTAGCATTGAATTTTAACTATATTTTCTACTTAGATATACAAGAGTAGACTCAATGCATTTGACGTGACTTCCACAATAATCACCAAAAAGTGCGAGCTGCTCATACTTACGTTCACAGTAAACGAGTCTGCCACCCATTTTTTTTCTATCTATCTTGGTCTCTAGTTTTCATTTTTGGACTTTTCACATGAAAAAGTAGGTCGCGGGAGTCATTTTTTCTGTCTCGTGGACGGCGTCGGCCTTATAAAAAGTGATTTTTTCTTGTTATATGCAACATTTGTGTCATCAAAGTTACTGTTTCATATTATTCTGGCCCGTGGATTGCATTGTAGACTACAGTAGTAGTCTATAATACCATATTTACCTTATAATTACAAGTAAAAGAATGCATTTTTCAATGCAATGTTTGTGGTAAACAGAAGTGTATAATCTTGGATCTCATGTTATTTTTACAGAAGACTGCACAAGTTCATTTCAAAAGAAATGCTCTCTGAAAGGACCTTCACAAGGGTCTCCAGCAGCTAGGGTGTATTGGACTGTCACTGATGACTAGCTTCAATGTTTTGTCTCCAGCTTTATGATGTATCTTGTTTCACCAGGGTTGATGAAATAAGTTCGCAAATACTGAGGAAGCTAACATCTAGATTACAAATGGAATTTTCACATCTACCATCTTGTATGGCTGCCTTGAAACCCTATTTGGAGAGCCAACCATCGAGTAGCTTAGAGTTGGAAGTGAATCATTTCATAGAGCCCCAACACTTCTGTGGATCAGCCTTACCACCTTAATTAGTGGATTTATTGGAAACTGCTAAAATGGATCATGAAGGAAAGGATGATAATGATTACGACAGTGATGACAGTATAAATTACTACAAGGAACTGGATTATATTGACTGAAATTAAACTTTGAGATTGAAAAACCTTGTTCACTTTATGACGAACTTCCATCTGTTTACCAGTAAAGCATAAGCAT